CACTGGTGAATTCTACCAAACATTTAAAGAGGAATTAATACCAATCCACCTCAAACTTCCAAAACATAGACGAGGAGGGAACACTTCCAAGCTCATTTTACAAGACCAGCATTACCCTAATACCAAAACCAGACAAGGATACCACAAGAAAAGAAAATTACAAGCCAATATTCCTGATGAACATAGATGCAAAAATCCTCAACAAAATATTAGCAAACTGAATTCAACAATACATTAAAAGGATCATACACCATGAACAAGTGGGATTTATTCAGGGATGCAAGGATGGTTCAACATCCACAAATCAATCAATGTGATACACCACATTAACAAAATGAAGGATAAAAATCATATAATCGTCTCAATAGATGCAGAAAAACCATTTGACAAAATTCAGCATCCGTTTATGATCAAAACTCTCAACAAAATGGATAGAGAGGGAACATACCTCAACATAATAAAGACCATATGTGATAAGCCCACAGCTAACATCGTACTCAACAGTAAAATGCTGAAAGCTTTTCCTATAAGATCAGGAACAAGACAAGGATAGCCACTCTCACCACTTTTATTCAACATAGTATTGGAAGTCCTAGCCAGAGCAATTAGGCAAGAAAAAAGAAAGAAAAGGAAAAGGCATCCTAATTGGAAATAAAGAGATAAAAACTGCAACTATTTGCAGATGACATGATATTATATACAGAAAACCCTGAAGACTCCACCAAAAAAACTGTTACAACTAATAAAGGAATTCAGTAAAGTTTCAGGATACAAAATCAATATTAAAAAAACCTTTGTGTTTCTATACACTGATAAACAAGCTATCAGAAACAGAAATTAAGAAAACAATCCCATGTACAATTGCATCAAAAAGGATAAAATACCAAGGAATCAATTTAACCAAAGAGGTGAAAGACCTGTACGCTGAAAACTATAAGACACTGACAAAAGAAACTGAAGAAGACACAAATAAATGGAAAGATATTTTGTGCTCATGAATTGGAAGAATTAGTATTAAAAGTTCATACTACCCAAAGCAATCTACAGATTCAATGCAATTCCTATCAAAATTCCAATGGCATTTTTCACAGAAATAGAACAAACAATCCTAAAATTTGTATAGAACGATAGAAGACTCTAAATAGGCAAAGCGATCTTGAGAAAGAAGAGCAAAGCTGGAGGCAACACACTCCCTGATTTCAAAGCATATTACAAAGCTATAGTAGTCAAAACAGTGTGGTATTGGCGTAAAAACAGACACGTAGATGAATGGTACAGAATAGTGAGTCCAGAAATAAACCCATGCATATATGATCAATTAATTTATGGAAAAGGAGCCAAGAATATACAGTCTCTTCAATAAATGGTATTGGGAAAACTGGATAGCCACATGTAAAAGAATGAAACTGAACCACTATCTTACAGCATACATAAAAACTAACTCAAAATGGATTAAAGACTTGAACATAAGACCTGAAACCTTAAAACTCCTAGAAGAAAATGTAGGCAGTAAGCTCTGTTATGTCAGTCTTGGCGATGATTTTTTGGATTTGACACCAAAAGCAAAAATAAACAAGTGGGACCATATCAAACTAAAAAGCTTCTGCACATTAAAGGAAACCAACAAAATGAAAAGGCAACTTACTGAATGGTGGAAAATATTTGCAAATTGTGTATCTGGTAAGGGATTGATAGCCAAAATACATAAAGAACTCATGCAACTGAATAGCAAAAAAACAAACAATTCAATTAAAAAATGGGCAGAGAATCTGAATAGACACTTTTCCAAAGAAGACATACAGATGGCCAACAGGTACATGAAAAGGTACTCAACATCACTAATTATCAGGGAAATGCAAATCAAAACCACAATGAGATATCACCTTGCGCTGTTAGAATAGCTATTATCAAAAAGATGAGAAATAACAACTGTTGGTGAAGATGTGGAGAAAAGGGAACCTTGTGCACTGTTGGTGGGAATGTAAATTGGTGCAGCTGTATGGAAAACAATATGGTCGTTCTATTTTTAATTTTTTGAGGAACCTCCATATGATCCAGAAATTCCACTGCTGGGTGTTTATCCAAAGAAAACGAAAACACTAACTTGGAAAAGATATCTACACCCTCATGTTCACTGCAGCATTATTTACAATAGCCAAGATGTGGAAACAACCTAAGTGTCCATCAATAGATGAATGGATAAAGAAAATGTGATATATATACACAATGAAATATTACTCAGCCACAAAAAAGAAGGAAATCTTGCCATTTGCGACAACATGGATGGACCTTGAGGGCATTTGCTAAGTGAAATAAGACAGACAGAGAAAGATAAATACTGTATGATTTTGCTTATATGTTGAATCTTAAAACAAAAAACGAGCTCATGGATACAGAGAATAGATTAGTGGTTGCCAGAGTGGGTTGGGGGAGTGGATAAAATGGGTGAAGGTGGTCAAAAGGTACAAAAAAAAATGAGTCATATCCATATATATTGACATAGAAAGATACTCATGATATATATTTGAGTGGAAAAACAACCAGTAGCAGAAAAATGTACAAACTGTACATTTTTGTGAAATGAAAACTCTCATTAACAGAGAGAGAGAGAAAAAACAAACTCTTTGTTTGTGTGTGTATTATGAGCATGAAGAGATACACCTAAAATCGTTAATAAGAAGTACTTCAAGATATTCCTTTTACTCAAATCTACATAATACCAGTGTCAATGCCTGAAATAAAATATCCAACAACAAAAAATTAAAAGAAGATAAATCCAAAGCATAATAACCAAAGTGGAAAAGGTAAAGCAGAATTACATTTTCTAAAGAATTAGTAATGCAGAAAAATAAAGCAAAGCCATGAAAACTCTTCTCCTGAATAAGCAATGCAAGATGCTAAAAAACAGAATTTTTTTTTAATTTTAGCAAGAATGCCTTATAATTTTAGCATCATGGATGCTTAAAAATATTGGTGGAAACAGAGAAACAATGAGTGTTCCAGTAGGTCGTGTGTAAAATCCAATTTTTAAAAAATGAGAACAGAATGGACAACAGTGCAAGAAAAAGTTATTGACCTAGAAAACAGACTCAGAGAGCTACACTATTCATTCTAAGAAGTCCAATGCCAGAAGAAAGTTATACGTATGAAAATTCATAGGCAGTGATGTAGTACAACAGGTCTAGCAAAAAAGTGTCTCTTGTGCTCCCACTCCCAAGACAGTCGTCACTAATGTACCCAGAAGTCTTTTCTTCTGAGCCAAGATAAGTCTTCAGAAGTTTCCTGAACCTAGCATTTGGGGCAGCCTCTTCCATGTTACCAAAATTGTAATTGCAATGTAAGATGAAAACAGCTTGTCATATCTTCAGTAGGAAAGGATCCAAGATAAGAATTCACAGCCTAAAAATGGAAAAGGCACACAGGGTCTCTTGAAGATTTAACATCCAAGCGGAAGAGATTTAAATATATGCTTGTTAAACCCCTGAACTTTAGCAATAAAGAATGATGGCCTCAAGCAACTAAAGAGAAAGATAACCTTCAGGCCATCACAGATAAGACCAGCGTGAGATCATCCTATCAAGGTGCAGAAAAGAATTCTTAAATCCACAGAACCTGTAGAAATTATCTAGTGGGCAACCTCATCTTCAAAGAATTACCCAAGACACATTTGACTTGAGTAAGCTACAACTACTGAAAAATAAAATAAATAAGCCACCCTTAAAAATGAGGAGAAAAGACAGTTTAAACATGTTTCAGAGAGTTGGTTCTCTCAATCCTTCAATGAGTTTTGGAGAGTGAATTAGGTGAATCCAAGAGCAGACAACATATTTCCCATTAGGAAATCCAAAGTTGTTCTTCTTAATACATAAAAATATAAATTTATTATTTTTTTAATTTTATTTATTTTTTCCCCCAAAGCCCCAGTATATAGTTGTATGACATGGCTGCAGATCCTTCTAGTTGCTGTATGGGGGACGCAGCCTCAGCATGGCCAGAGAAGTGGTGCGTTGGTGCACACCCGGGATCCGAACCCGGGCCGCCAGCAGCGGAGCGTGCGCACTTAACTGCTAAGCCACAGGGCCGGCCATAAGAATATAAATTTAGACTAAAAATGATTAGACTTTTTTGCCTTTAAGTATTTAGGGGTTATGTTATGGCATACAAGAACCATTGATTTAAAAACACATCATTATATAAGTACCACTCAGAAAGAGAAAAAACACTTCAATTAAACTGTTACCCAGGGCTTTCTTATTGTTTAGAATTTCTGTTTTCTACTTTTTGAAAGTGTTCCTGTAGGCTTGTTGAGCCGTGGGAGTGTCCACACTGTGAAGAGCTATGACTGAGTTCACGCTCGTGGAAGCAGTGATGACTCATTTCTTCCACCTGGGTGACAGCAGTTGTGGGATGCCATCAATTTTAAGACAGAACCTGATTTGAGGGATGTGAAAATGTGTAAAAAATATGTGCGTTAGAATTGATGAAATAGAACACATCCAATAAGTTACCTTCCAGGCAGGTTTAAAAGGAAAGAAGGTGCTTGAAACAGATAAATACGATCTGGCATGACACGTATTGTGCTACAGGAATGTACAAAATGCCTTAGATAAGGACTTGACCACAGCCCAGGGGAAGCATGGAAGGCATTCCAGTCGGGGCACAGAAATGTCCTTGGAGAAGGCAGAATTGAAAAGAAGAGGGAAAAACCCAGAATGATGGAACAGAGTTCAAATTATGACAGGCTGGATCAAAGGCCCCACTCCTGCAGGCTTGGGATCTTATAATTTAAAGATTCAAGACACAATCACAAGGTTTTCACAATACTGGAGCCGCCGGTGCCACCATCAGACAAGGTGGGGAGCAGTCTCAATATAGATTTGTTGATGAGTGAGTGAATGTGTGAGAGCATGCATATGGGTGTGAGTGAATGAATGAGTGCATGAGTTAGGGTTATCTGTGGCTGAAGATAACAGCTGGTCTCCTTTCCCTTGTCACCCCAGAGAAACTTGAGAGTGAGAAGCTGAACGTTGCTGAGGTCACCCAGTCAGAGATTGCTCAGAAGCAGAAGCTGCAGACTGTCCTGGAGAAAATCAACGAAACCCTGAAACTTCCTCCCAGAAGCATCAAATGGAATGTGGACTGTGAGTTTTACAAAGGAAAGTGGCACTGTTAAATGACACGTGGGTCTCTACCATGGGGTTTCCCCAAGAGGCTACCCAGTAAGCTGGCAGGCCCTGGGTGGGTGCAGACCCATTTATCTTTGATCAAGATGTGCCCTTCCTTAGAAAGAAAACTTACCATACACACTCTGGGGGAAAAATAGCAAAATCTCAAAATCCAGTGTGTCTTTTCTGTAAAAGGCTTTCTGTAGAAACCTCCTGTGAGTTTGGAAGGGGAAGGAAATCCATATTCGTTGAGCTACTTCTGAATCCGAGCACAACCTTTCGAGAAAGCTGCTGTCTCCAGCTTGTAGAGATTTCGGGAAACAGAGAACCCTACGTTCAGGCAGCTGGGAAGCCAGAGAGCAAGGACTTGGCTCTGTTCCAAAGCCCATGCCCTTCCTCTCACCCCCTTATTTTCTAGAAGGAGCAAAGATGTGGCTGAGATCGTAGGCACTCGAACAGGATTTTTTTTTGCCCCCAAAACCCCAGTAGATAGTTGTATGTCATAGCTGCACATCCTTCTGGTTGCTGTATGTGGGACGCGGCTTCAGCATGGCCAGAGAAGCGGTACGTAGGTGCGCGCCCTGGATCCGAACCCGGGCCGCCAGCAGCGGAGCGCACACATTTAACCGCTAAGCCACGGGGCCGGCCCATCGAACAGGATTTTAAAATTCAGGTTTTCACAGCTAGTAGCTCAAGGATCTCAGCAAGTATAAACCATTCATTCTTTTGCTGTCTCAAGGGCCTGGGTGTCTAACGGGGACTTAATGAGTCCGTATCAGAGTCAACATTAAATCAGCAGATTCAGTGAATCCAGAAACAACTACATATTTCCCACAGGGAGTCCAAAGTTATTTTATTCTTTGTAATAGATATAAAAATAGATTTAGATTGTGGTTTTTGCCTTTAAGTATTAAGGGGTTAAGTACTATACCTTACTGCGTCCAACTTAACACAACTTAAAATGGACTTCCCCCCCACCCCCCAAAAAAAACACCTTTCAAATTTGGGAAAGAAAAAGGAATCTTCACCTCTCGTGTTAGAGCCCCAGGAGCTGCCAGCCACGATCTCTAACATCCGACGTTGGAGGCCAGATGCCGAGTACCCCCTCCGGGAGAATTACACCTTTGCACGGTGTGACCAGCTACCTCGCTCAGCACTAGGAACAGGGCATCCTCTGCCGGGCAGAGGGAGACACCTGAGCACGGGAGGAGGGGAGACCACAGCTCCGTGCCCTACATGCTATCCCGTGTCCCAAGAATGCTAATAGTGTTCAGTGGCGGAGAAAAAAGGGGCTTGATCCCTAGTTTGGGAAATGTATCTGCATTTTGGAAATCCACAGTAGTCATAAACATTAAAGTCCTCTGATGAAGACCCCCTACTTAGTTTTATTTGACCCTGTTTCCCACTCCTTTGAATATGGACCATCTCCACATACCCCTCCAAACAAAACACCTTTTGACTTATCAAGGAACCTAATTTGGGAAAGATGGAGACAGAAGAATGGACTTTTTAAAGCCACATCAGGACAGTTATCTTCAGTGGTTTTGAATGATTTGTTTTGGGTTCACATTTACTTTCATCTCTTATAGGGAAATGTGTACGAGTAAAATAATCACTCGTATTACCACTCTTATCTGGCTATTTTCGTTTTTTGCCCACTACAGTCCATATCAATGCATATTTTTACTTGAAGTCATATACACTCTTGTGTTTTGTTATTTTCTCGTAATATTATATCATACATATCTTCCATATTCCCATGTGATCTTCATAGTTATAATTGTTGATAGCTGCTCTCTTTCATGGGGTAGATATCCCATAGTTAACTTAAGCCCTATGTTGACGTTCATCCTTTTGGGATGTTTGCCAGCCTGTGGCTAATATGAGATAGTGCCAAGTTGAATTTCTTAGGTTGTGTATCTTTTTGTTTCTCTCGAATTATTCTCGTCAGATAGATTTCCAGAACTGAGATGAATTACTAGGTCAGAGGGAATAATTATCTCAAGCTCCCTGCGATGCCTTGGGGCTTCGAGAAGCACTGGGCCTGTTTACAAGGCAGTGGTTTATAAGGAATGTGGTGGGCCCCACTCCTGGGGGGAGGCTTCCACCACTCCTCTCTCAGGTATCTCCCCTGGCTGCTTCTGAGGACATTGTGACATCTTTCTGATCAGGATAAAGGTGGCAGGGACAGCTGCTGATTCACCGAGGTCCTTGACCCAGGGCTTTAGGGAGCTCTTCTTTTTCTTTCTCTTTTTATTCACAACAATAATTTTTATTATTGAAAATTTAGAAAATACAGATAAGTTAAAAGAGATTTAAATAACATCTAACATACTTATGGTGCATACTGTATGCCTTGTACTATTCTAAACATTTTACATACTTTGATCTTTGTAATCCTCACTCAACCATCTGAGGTAAGAATTCTATCATCCCCATTTTACAGAAGGGAACATCGAGACATGGAGAGGTTAAGAAACAATGAATATAAGCTTCATGAGGGCAGGCATTGTCTCTTCACTGCTGTATCCCTAGAACCTGGAAGAGTGGCTGGCGTATACTAAGCACAATAATATTTGCTAATGGAGCGTCATTGTCCAAAGTCACACAGGTGGTGAGTGGTGGAGTCAGGAATGAGCCTCAGAGAGCCTGGCTGCATGGCCTCTGCGCTAAGCCTACACATACTGCCCCCATAAGTTGCCCACCCAGAGACAGCACTGTCAGCCTTGTGGTGTGTCCCTTCAAGTCGTGTGTGTGTGTGTGTGTGTGTGTGTGTGTGTGTGTGTGTGTTGGAAATAAATAGATCGATAAATAAAATGTGTGTACATATTTATATACAAAATATATATATTTACTTTTACAAAACTGAGATCAACCTGTATATGTCGTTTAAAAGATGTATGTCTTTACAGATCATTAAATATTCTTCTATATGTCACTTTTATTATATAATATGACATAGTATGGATGTATCATAATTTAACTAATGATAGATTTTAAGATTGTTTCTCATTTTTTCACTAATATTAATACAGCCTGATAAGTTCTCTCTGCTTATAGCCATAATTACTTCTTTAGGATAAATACCTAGGAGTGGTAGTTTAGGGCCAAAGGATATGTACATTTTTAAGGTCATAATACATATTGTCAAGTTGTCTCCAAAAAATTACAGCAACTTCTATCTCTACCACAATTCATGTTGAGAGGACTGTTTCTAACTCGGCAGCTCCTTTGAAATGATTTTCGAGCCCTAAAGAGACACTTTGGAGCGTGAGCACTGCTCTCATTCTGCACAGTGAGTGTAGGAGCCCAGTGGCCCTGGATTCTGTCTAGCATCAGGGACAAAACTCCCAGGAGATGTGCTGAGAGATGGCAGTGAGGAGGATGCCCAAATATGCAAAGGTGACTAGAATTTTCCTTAGTTGAAAAGATAACATATCTTTATTCTAAAGAAAATTTTGAAATAGGAAAAAAAACTCTTTCCCCTCTAGCATAACTATTTTCTTTTTTTTTAATATTTCTCTCCAAGTCTTGGCCACAAGTACATGCTTGTGTGCATGCATGTGTGTGTCCATGTGTGTATATATGTATGTGTATGTATATGTATACATATATACAAATATATGTATAAGTATTTATGCATGTGCATATCCATAAATGTGTATATTTACATTCTATTGTTTCTCTTTAACATTACATTATTAATATTTATAGCTACATTGTCTTAGCAATGATTTTCAATATGTGCAAACTGTTCCCTTCTGTGAGTATACCATAATTTATTAAAACGAAGACTATTAAACCATGCTTGGCCCAACCTAGGGCTTTCCAAGGAGAATCTCAGGCATCCTTGAGACGAGCAGCAGCTGTGAGTTGGCTGCAGGTGGGACCCGAGCAATTGTACTGCTTTCATTGGTTTTGCCTTTTGCAGCTTTTAGAACAAAGAATTTCACTGCTTAATAAAAAAAAAATTTGGAAACCACTGGTCTAAACCACCCTCTTGCTATTGGATATAACTGTTTCCCAGCTTTTTAAAAAATGATAATATATTACACAATAATTAGCATCTTTGTATGCATAGCATGTATATGCATGAGAGAGAGAGAGAAAAAGAGAGTAACTGTGTAATTATTTCTTTTGAAAAAAATTCCCAGGAGGACAGAGCACTCATTGAGAGTCTGACATCTGCATGGTGCTTACGGTATAGCTCTGTATTGCTTACCAAGACAGTCCAGATAACGGACAATGTCAGCAGGGTGTGAGAACAACCTTTTTGACGACAGCTTTTCCAGCATTATATTTTATCATTTAAAAAGGGGCGAGGTAGCAAATGTCCTTACAACCCTCAGTGACTGGACCGATGGTGTGGCAGTTCTGATCAGAAGAGCAAACGTGGATTTTGCCTGTCTGTCAGTGAGCACACCAACCATGTCAGTAGGCCAGTCCCACGCCAGGAGCCTTTTTTGAGGGTGTAACTGTGCGTCAAGCTAGTTGACAATGCCTAAAAGCCCAGAACTGAAACCCTCTTCTGGAAAGCGAGGAGTCAGGAGCCATTCATCTGCTCTTTGGTGGTGGTGTTGAGCTGTTGGTCATAGTCAGTGGAAAACCTTCTTTAAAGTAGTTGTGATAGCAAGAACCTCTACCCAAGGAATGTCTGAATCACTTCCTTTTCCTAGTGATTTTTCAAAGCTTCTGTTGGGGCAGACTCATTGATCCTAGGGCAGAGAGCATGACTCCCTGATAATGGGCCCAGTTCATGCTAAGTACACAAAATGGGCATTTTTTGTTCCATCCTTAAATGCCCCCGGTAATGAAGAGCCAGGAGGCTGGTAGGACTGTGAAGGCAGGTCAAGTATCTGGTGAATCATCCCTTTTATGAGAAAGAAACGGGAGAAAGTTGATGTGCTTTAATTGCCTAGGTGCCAGGCACTTTCTCATAAATTATAATAAAAAATATCAGCCATTCCTAGGCATCTGCTATGTGCTAGGAGCTTTGCCTATATTATCTCTGGGAATTCTTACAACCTATATTTCTGCATAGGTACAGTTATCCCCATTTGTGAAGTTGAGCAGATTGAGGCTCAGAGGCCTCGAGTGGCCCACCCGAGTTCATGTAGGCAGTGAATAGAGGGTAGAATTGTCAAGTCAGAACTCGAGCTCCACTCTGCCTGACACTGTGTGCCCCATTACATCACAGTCTTTTTCTCCTCTCACCTACTGTGAAAACTTCAACCCAGTAGTTGCCCAGCCTTCTCTAGCATAGATGGCTTAACATCCAGCACATAGCTCGGTAGCTATAGAAGCCAAGTGGGTCACGAACATCCCCTCCCAGCTATTCCCCAAGAGGCATTGCCCAAACTGACCATACATGGCGCTCAAGAGAGCAACAAAGCCCTTTAGATGTCTCTCAGGCCTTCCTCCAGGGATCTTAAAGCCCCCGTGAAGGAAGGGATCCAGTGTTCCTGGCTCAGGGTCCATTTATGGAGGGCCTGCTGTGTGTAGAGCCTTGGGACAAGGGCAGTGGTGATAACCCAAAGAGTCACAGTCAGATGGGAAGGGAGGGGGTGCAGAGCAGACTCGCACATGGTTATTAGAAGAGAGTGAACAAGAGCATGGGGTGGCAGAGGGCAGAATTCAGCCGTTGCCAGAGTCCCAGTGGGAACCTTGGATTAGAGTGGAAAGGTCCTACACTGGAAATCCAGCAATAGCATGACTCAAGAAGAAGCTCCAGGGGACCCAGCCGAGGACTGAGGGGGCCCAGGGTGAGGCCTGTGATGACTAAGGGTGTCTCCTGACCCCTAGGAGTGGGCTGAAAGGGGCACTGGGTGTGGTACTGCTACAGTTTGAATATCTGCTCGTATCTACCTAGAACCTAGAAGAAGATTCTCTAATTTTTAAATCATCTTTTGTTTTAGCTGTTCATGCCAAGAGCCTGGTAGCCATCTTGCATCTACTGGTTGCTCTGTCCCAGTATTTCCGGGCACCAATCCGGCTCCCAGACCATGTTTCCATCCAAGTGGTTGTGGTCCAGGTAAGGTAGATACCACTACAAACACCGGTGCCCTTAAAGAGGCTGAGTTCCTGTGAGAGCTAGGGCACACTGGGGGGCTCGTTAGAAGGACAGCTGAATGAAGGCTGAGTGTCCTGGGGTGTGCTCCGTGTTGGGAGGCACGTGACTGACCTTTCTGATGCATGCGGGCTTATCCCTGATATGTGTGCAAAGAGTGGAATAGCGTGTGCTCGTGTGTGGGGTAGGCTTGTGTGGGGCACGTGCCTGGGATTTACCCTCCTTCGTCAGGAGGGTGTCTGTGTAATGTATGTTTGAGGGTGTGTGGTGTGTATGTGTGTGAGGTATATGTAATAGGATCAGAGGGGAGATGTATCCTTGTGTGTGTGTGTGTGTGTGTCTGCGTGTCTGTGTGTCTGTGTGTCTATGCCCTGCAAGCCATGGAGAATCATCATTTTTTGGTTAAATGATGCACAGGTGTTGGGAAGAGACCGATATCTGTGCACGTGAAGGCGTGCGTGCATGCGTGCATGTGTGTTTGAGAGAGGCCCCAACTGGCTGTGTCGGTGTTGAGGGCACTGCTGCTCTTCACCCACCCAGAGAAGCACAGCTGGGATCTCAAGTCATCTTTTCCACATTGTTGGATGGAATTTCCATTCACATATGGCTGTGTAATTTCCACGGTGAGGGTGTGCTCTCTCCCCGTGACGATCTCACTCTGCTCCTAACCCCATTAGATACTCAAATTTAATTTTGTTTTCCAACTTTATGCCCATTTAGCAAAAGGTCATCATTTTGTTTGCTTGTTTCTGTTCTTTTCCAAATAAACATGCTGCCAGGGAGAGCTCCCCTTATGAGCAGCTCCCTGGGTATCCAGGGTTATCCAGGGTTCTGGAGGAGAGAACAATATGGCAGCTCTGCCGTGCCTGGGTGGGGAAGAGCCGTGAGGGCTGGGTAAGCCAGGCCAGTTTCCAGGGTAAAAGGTCTTTGAGCTGAGCTTTCAGGGATCAGAAGTTAAAGGGAAGGGAGAAGGAGATGGGGGCGCTGCTCAATCAGCGATTCAGTTGCGCCCTAATGAAAAAGTATTTCTTCTACACCTCTGGGTCCTTAACTTGCTTAACATCAAGGGGTTATAATAGGAATATGCCACCTTGGCCCTGCCTATCAAGAGATAAGGCTACACAAAAGCAGCAGAGAGGGCTATCAGGAGCCCATAGTCAATGCGAGTGTGTGTGGGTCAGACACTAAGTGCAGCTGACTGAAAGGGACTAATTGGCCTCATTTATTGAGCACTCAGCTGTGTCAAGCACGGAGTTAAGCATTTCATGTCTGCTATGGATATGTGGCCAGCCCAGAGCATCCTGGTCCAAGCATCCTCCTAGTCAATCCGGGCCATCTCTATTGTGTTATTTTTACCAATCAATAATGCGTAAATCCATTTCATTATATTTTTAAAAACTGTGATTCAAGATTTGAACAGGAGGGGAGGTGGGCCTCCTATTTTGAAACAGTGGTCACTGCAAGCCCACATCGCATGCTTATTTTGAGCTCAATTATAGGCCATCAGAAGGCTGTTGTTGGTTTAATTTCTCCTGTAGGCAGTTTTCTTAGCATGGGGGAGAAAAGAGGACGCATTTCATAAAATGGCGTCAGTGCCTGTCAGGTTTTATGGGGTGTTTTTGCTTTATCAAGTCCAACAGGCACAGAAGCAAGACTCGGAGTTGGCTGTGAGTCGCTGCCTGAACTACAGAGAGAGCTCTTTAGGGAACAGATAATGCATCGAGGGGAATCAGGATGCTGTGTGAGGGGTTATTTCACCCAGATTTCTTTTCCTTTCTGTATAAAAACATTTAATTCTGCATGAAGTTGAAGATGAGGTTTTATGTCTGCGAATGGCCTCATAAGACAGGGACACAGATTCCATTACGCCCATGTGAAAATTTTACATATATTGATGCTGAATTTGCAAAAAGTCCTGATTTATCCTCACTGGATCTCCTTTAAATATCTTTATTTTTTTTCCTTTCTTTTTGTGTTGATAGTCCATTCTTAATCTAATCCAGATATACTCTTGGCCTTCATCCAGCTCTACCTTTCCTTCTGTAGAAGTATTTTCCAAGGACACTAGATTCTGTGGCTATTGGGAATGTGAAGAGAAGGTTCTAGAAGTTTTGGCAGGAGGGTCAAGAAGGAGGGTTTCAGCTGAGACACCAATGCTTGGAGGCTCCTTCTTGACCCTCATCTCAGCCTTTGTGGAAGAGGAATTTGCTCTGACAACTGCTTTCCATGCCCAGACCATCCTCCAAGTGTCTGGTAACTGACTGTGAAGGGACCTGATAACATGAATCTCCTTCTTCAGGCCCATCTGATGGTCTCCCTGAATCCTGACACTCCTGCATTGGCTCCCAGGCCCACACAATGAGGTTTAAATCCCAAACCGGCACTCAATTGATTCCCCATTGCCTAATGGCACCTGCCTCCAAACAGCCTTCTCAACACATTTGTCCTCTCTTGACTGTGTCTTTTTGCTCGGGCCATTCCTCCCACTGGAGTGACCTCTGCTCTGTGTCCAGCCAAATCCTACGTGTCCTTGAAGTTCCAGCTCAAGGACCCCTCCCCTTGCAAGGGTTCCCTGACCATCCCAGCCGAAAGTGCCTGCATTCAGCACTTCTTCTCTGCTTAGGGTAGCCACATAATTTATTATCCACAACCCTTTTGAGAGTGAAAGGGGATCCTACTAATAACTGAGCTGGAACATCAGGCATAAACCCTGTTTGGGGGAAATCTCACATACTTGCTTCATCTATTCCATTTTACTCTTAAGTTCCTCAAGGCAGGAAACTATGAGATACTTTTCATAGTATTTGCTCCAAGTCCAACACAGGGGCTTGTACATAGAAGACACTGATTAATGAAATAAACAAGAGACAGGATGAATTGATGGGAAGAGGTGGATAGATGTTGGAAGGATGGATAGGTGAATAGATGGATGGATGGATGGATGGATGGATGGATGGATGGATGGGTGGGTGGGTAGGTGGATGGGTGGATGGATAGATGGGTGGATGGGTAGATAGATGGGTGGGTGGATGGGTCGTTGGATGGGTGGATGGATGGACCAGCCTCGATTGCTTAACCTTTTCTCAGAGAGTAAGCTAGTTACCTGAGGACTGTACTACTTATTTAAAAGCTCCCATATTTATCCATTAAAAAAAACACAGCTCTCCCTCTATTTGAATTCTCTAAGTTGGCCTCAGTTCTTCCACCCCAAACCCCCAACTAAATGTGTTTCTCAGCTTCTCTCTGGCCCCAGCTGGAGGGCAGACACACCCTGGCCTTCATTTCCATTTGGTTTACTGTGGATTACTCCAGGAGGCAAACAGTTTGCTTCCAGCCGAATGTCTTCCAATAAAGAAAGAAAAGATTCACCATCCAAGAAACAGCCTACTTGTTTGGACTAAACACTAATTGCACTCAAGGATGAATGGTACAGTCCAGTCCCAGCAAGTCAGGGGCCTCGTTTCCCTTCTAGAAGTATCTCGTCTCTAGATTCATCTCTTAAACACCAATCACTTTCTCAATATCAGGAATGCTTATCAGTTTTTTGTATTGTTCTAAAGCATATTTTTCTCTTCCCCTCCCAACCCTTCTCCCCACCCCCGTTTCAGAAACGAGAAGGAATCCTCCAGTCTCGGCAAATCCAAGAGGAAATAACTGGTAACACAGAGTATGTCAACACCATTGTTGCCAGCGATTCTGTAATGGAACACAGATGTTTCTCCAAAATTCATCCATTTGCTGATATTTAGTTTTCATTTATTGGGATTGCAAGAGGGATTAGACTTCAGCCAATGATTATGGTTTAGCCTTTTCTATGCATTCAAAACATGCCTCTCGATGCTTAAGGTACCAACTTGGGTGGGGAAGTGGGGAGAGGGAATTAGCAGTGATTGAAAAATTCTAATTTTGTGGCACTCCGGGAAAAAGTGTGCCCAAAAAAAGCCAACCAGCATGAAATCATCATGCCATGAACATGGGGTTGAATTTAAATTGTTAACCTTCAAAAGGACATTTTTCTTCCCTTTCTGAGTCTGATTTATTTGGTCACGTGCCATGACCCAGAAAGCCCCTCTCTACCTTAGAGTGGTGGGTTGGTGTGGTTTTTTTCCATTTGTGTTAAGCAGTTGAAATATCAGAACATGTAAGAGGTTTGCCATGGGGAAGAGAAGTTTTGTTCTTAAGCAGAAAGAGCAGGATGGTGTGTGTGGCTTTGAGACCACTGGCAAAAGTTCAGTTTCAGCCTCCCCTGTACCCCCAACTTCTATGTTCCCTTGAACAAGAGGGAGGTGGAAGAATGGGGACCTCTCAGCCAACCCAACATGAGTTCAAATTCAGGCTCTGCCGCTCACTCGCCGGTCAGCCCCGTAACCTCTCTGACCTCGGTTTCTTCATCTCTGGAGGGAAAACATTTTCCTAACCAGAGAGGTTGTGAGGATTCAACGTGGTAACGGCCGTCCCCCTTTCCCCTGCCCTTCATGGCTTTCTTTCCTGGCTTTTCCCCATCACAGCTGACCCGCACCTTCCAAGCTTTGCCCAATCTCTAGGGAACTCGCCCCGCTCCCCAGTTGGGGCTGACGGGAGTCCAAGGCAATGCCTGTCTGGACCACCCAGTGCATGTGCCTTAGAAAGGGCCCAGGGGTGTAAGCATCTCAGGCCCAGGGTAGGGCAGGGGTGTGTAGTGGCCCTTCCCAAGATGCCCCGTTTATGGCCTGCGGAGACCCTGTCAGGCAGCCTCCCTGTACTCCACGGGCCCATCTTGACAGCCGATCTACAAAGCACCCTGACCCTTGGCCTTGGTGGTGTGAGGGGCTGCCCCAGGTCAGGCCTGCCAGGAGAGGAGTGGAGTTCCTCATCTCCTGCCTCACACCTCCCCTACCCTTTGCTGGTCTCATCCACGCCGCTACCAAATCAGGGAATGGGAAGTTTTGGTTTGCAGAGCTGTCTCTCAGCCCTTGTTATGCTTTCTGTGGTCTCTCTCTGCCATCTTGCCGCATAGACATAAACATGGTCGCAAACTCCTAATAATGACAACACAGTGCAGTTTATGAAGCCCTTTTGTATCTACTGAGGTTCGTAATAAACACGTGAAACAATGATTACACCACCCCACAGCCCAAAGGTAGAGAAGGAGACTATCCTTGGTCTATCCAACAGTAAACTCCAAGTTCATTATTCTTTCCAGTACACTACCCGCAAGTCATCACTTAGTGGGCAATAAATATACAGTTGGAATAAACCAATACAATAAGAACAAAAAACATGTTGAAAAATTTATTGAGCATTTACATTATAGTGGGAATTAGGCTATAATCTTTCTACATATTAAATCATTTAATGTTCGCAAGATCCTACTGAAGTGTTGACAACTATTATCCTCATTTTAGAGATAAGAGACCTGGAGCCCAGAGAGGTTTGGTAGCTTGCCCAAGGTCACACAGCAAGCAAATGGCTCTGTGCGATTTAAACCTAAGTGGTCTGTGTCTAATGCTTGTGCTCTTAATACTTCGTTGCTATGAGTGCAGTTCCAGTTCCTACCTTCTTTTAAAAAACCTATCCTGGGTCAGTGGCAGGTGCAACTTAGTGGGTGTTACAGGATGGACAGGAGAGAGACAACCCTGACCTCGCCAGGCAGATGCCCACAGCAGCCTGGGCAGTGAAATCCTTATTGGGGTGGTGTTCATGCTCTGCTCCTAAAACGTGGATAGGAATCTTGAACCCCTGACTCTGATATTCTTTCTCAACTGTAAGCAATAGTGAGATTTTCTTTAAGACAAGAAATAGTCCTTTAAGCATTAGTTATACCAGGCTTTTCCCAAGCACCACTATAGCGGTATAGCAGAGGGGAAAAAATAGGTGGTAGTGTGGTAAAGACCACCAATAATTGGAGGCTTAGTGCAGAATAAAATACCAAAGAAGGAAGCTTTTTGGGCTCTTCAACCAAGGGCAAGGAGAGGAGAGTCACTGTTTTCTTTCTCCCTTTCCTGCAGGGCTCTTTCTGGAAGGCATGGTAAGTTGCATAAGATTGTCCTCTGGTGTTGTGGCTGCCACGGGGGTCTAGTTAATTCTGCAGCAGTGGGAAGAACAGGCACTCAGCTTGCTCCCTGCATGAGTGTCTGCACCAGCCTGGTGTTGGGGCTGCTTAGCTGGGAGGGTCAGCTTACTGGTGAGAAGAGGAGAGCTCACCACAGCTGCACGGTCCCCTTGTAAGTAACCAGACCAGTGACATCACTGGGCTTCTGGACAAGTCCTGGGCATTTGCAGGGCAGTCTTGCTCTCAGTGTATTGTGGTAGTAAAGGAAGAGGTGTATGTACACGCTTGGGACTGTCCCCTCTCCCCACTCTGCCCAGACCTTCTAGAAGCTGCCTTCTCCCTCTTCCATCATCACATCTCCTACCTCTCCCATTTCCCAGAACCTTGGGTTTATAAAGTCTGTGACTGTCAGAGCTCACAATCACCTTCCTGGCTGTCTCAGACTTACCCATCAGTGCAAGAGTAAGAAAGGCAGACCCCAGGACCACGAACCCTCCAGCCCCAGGTTCCTCTTGGAGACTCTTCTCATTCCTGCTCAGATCCCCTGCACTGCTTCACCTCTCAGTTTAGAGAACATGGGGCTGTAGAAAGGAGAATCCCTGCAGGAGGCGTGACTTTGCTATTTTCTATGACCCTGTATTTACCATGGATAATATTTTGAAATATTCCAATAATGTTAATAACTCAGATTGGTAGCCACTTCAGAGTGTACAGAGCACACGCACGTACGTTCTCCTCTTTCATCCTCATGACACCCCTGGGGGAGGTTCATGTTTCAGATGGCACTTGATAGAAGAGGAAACTGAGGCACAGAGGGTTGAAGTGAGCAGATGCCTCGGGAGGAGGCGCTCACGTCCTCTGCTGGGCTCCCTGGCGCCCAGTTTGCTGATCTGTGCCTTCTACCAGGATGTTGGTCTTGGATGACTTGGTTTTGAAAATTAGAGGGTGAAGCAATTTGATATTTGGATAACATTCTACCTCCAAAAAGCTTCAGAAATGCTTTAGAACCATGACTAAATCAGGACATGATGGAATACAAATAGTGCAGAGATGACCAGTCCCATGTCAACCTGCCGTCAGAGCCCCCAACCCCAGCCCCAAAGATGGTAGACATAGAGGGTGGACACACACGCAGAGAAAAAGCCCCCGAAGGTAAGAATCAACCCCAAATCTCTGCCCCAGACCCAGCTTCCCGAGTTCCCAGCACAGTCCCATTCCCCAAAGAATTCCCATCTAGAGCTGACAACGTGGCCCTTAAAGGCTTGTGGCCGGGACCTGGGGTGGGCTTCCCCGTCAGGAATCAGCTCTGTGCCCCACTTGACATTTTCCTCTTCTTCAGAACGTGATGCCTTCGACACCTTGTTTGACCACGCACCAGACAAGCTCAACGTGGTGAAAAAGGTGGGAAGGAGGTGTCTGGGGGGGGCGGGGAGCAAAATGTAGCAAAACATTAGGGAAACCCATGCCTGCAGCCTGCAAGCTTCCTGTAACTGATGTCATCGCAAACACGGGGCCATCCCGCTTGATGTCCGTTTTACCTGTCTTGTTCTCACTGGATACCTTATCCAGTCCGTTTCTTCTCCTATCCGGATGACAACAGTCCCTTGGGAGTTCTGAGACTACAAGCACCCTGGCTTCCCACCTGCACTGAACCCCCAGCCTCCCCTGCTCGTCACACAGACCTCCCACTGTCTCCCTGGGCACAGGCACCTGTGCCTAGGAAGGGCCTGGAAGGAGAGACCCAGTGGGTCATCGCTTCTTGGCCCCCTTCCTAATTTCCCTTCGGCCCCCTGACTCCACCTGTCCTTCTGCGTCTCAGGACTCCCTGCTCCCTTCACAGTCCTGAAACTGGCTGTTTGAATCACACAGTGTATGAGACTGCAAATCTCTGGGGGCATGCGTTTCTGTGAACTTGAGGGGCCCTGCTGGAAGAGCCTCATAGGCTGCTCATCCTCACTCAGCTCGGCACAGTGACCCAGGCCCAGCCCAGAGCGCTGGGCCTCTCTTGTGTTATCACTGGTCCTTGTCCTCACGGTGGAGTCACCGAGGTGACTGGCACTGGTGAGTGTCTCCATCTCAATGCCCGGCTTATGCTTTTCTTTTAGACGCTCATCACTTTCGTGAACAAGCACCTGAATAAACTGAACCTGGAGGTCACGGAACTAGAAACCCAGGTTGGTGACAGCCCCCAGTGTAGGGTGGGAGGCAGGGCCCTGCTCAACAGCCACCCTTCCAAGAGCCCCATCCCCGCATTGCCTGAAGGGCTCTCCATACTGACCCTGAAGCTTTTCTAGGAGGGAGGGGATTCTATTCTGCTCAGGGGGTGAACTGCATGGAATTTCTCTGAATTTTTTCCAATTTTTTATCTTGAAAAGTTGCAAGAATGTTATCATAGATACCCATATACTCCTCACCCACACACACCAATTGTTAACATTTGGCCACATTTGGGGGGTTTTTTTCTCTCTCTGAATACTTCAGTACACACACAGTCCCCAACTTATGACGGTTCAACTTATTATTTTTCAACTTTACGATGGTGCAAAAGCTAGACAAATTCCGTAGAAACCGTACTTTCAATTTTGAATTTTGATCTTTTCCCAGGCTGGTGATACGTGGTACAATTCTCTCTCATGCTGCTGGGCAGTGGCAGCAAGCCACAGCTCGCAGTCAGCCCTGTGATCACAGGGGTAAACAACCGATACACTTAAAACCATTTGTACAACCATTCTGTTTTTCACTTTCAGTACAGTATTCAATAAATTACATGAGATATTCAAGACTTTATTATAAAATAGGCTTTACGTTAGATGATTTTGCCCAATTGTAGGCTAATCTAAGTGTTCTGAGCACGTTAAAGGTAGGCTAGGCTAAGCTATGATGTTTGGTAGGTTAGGTGTATTGAATGCGCTTTTGACTTTTTTCAACCTACAATGGGCTTTTCCGTACATAATCACATGATAAGTTGAGGAAAATCTGTATACATCTCTTAAATACATTCTCTTAGATGATCACAGTACAATTATCAAATTCAAGCAATTTTAAGATCAATAGAGTACATTAATCTATTTAGATTGAACCATATGAAATTGCTGATATTTGACTACTTTTGACAATGTGATGTGGTTCAAAGAAACACAGTTACTGTATTAGTCTCACATGCTGCATTCAGTCACCATCTCTTTAGTTTCTTTTTAATGTAGAACAAATCCTTGGTTTTTCTTTGCATGACACTGACATTTTTGAGGAGTGGGGACCACTTGGTTCATAGAATGTCTCTTGATTTTTCTCCCTCGTGATTAGACTCAGGTTTGCATCCTCAGCACCAACGCCACCAAGTACTGCTGTGTTCTTCTCAGACACTTCTGTCCGATAGTCCTGTTTCTGGTGGTGATAACTTTGATCACTTGGTTAAGTTGGTGTCCGCCAGATTTCCATACTGTAAAGCTCTTTCCCCCCTTTATAATTAATAGCTGATCTTTATTGGGAGATACTTTGAGGCTGTGTCATGTATCCTGTTTCCCAACCTCCTTTCATGCGTGATGAATTTCTAAAGTGTGGTTTTCTTTTGAGCACGTGGGCACCTCCTCTTATTTTTAAAGGTACTTCCCAGGTCTGTGGCTGAGCTCTCCCTGAGAGTGTCTGGACTCTGTGGAGTGAGCTTCATATACTCCTTTGGGAGATAGGGAACGCTCTGGAAAAGTGACGTTTCCTCAAGGGGGGCTAGAAGGAACTTTCTGGAACTTTCACCTCAGTGTTCCTGGGCAGGGAGTGCTCTGAAAGGGAGTCCCTGCCCAGCACATCTGGTGTCTGTCTGCGGGTTTTACCACCAAGTCATCAGACCAGCAGGAGGGGGTGGGAGCAGTCTAAGTCAGAGGCCCTCAGAGCTGTGAGTAACCCTGACCCTAACTAGGGTCCTCCCCTGAGTTGACAGATTGGATTCTTTTATTCTCAACCCACTCCAGCCACAGCCAGAATGAGGCCCAGTTAACTAGTTCCATGGGAGGGCCTTGATTTTGACACAGATGCTGGGGTCTGCTCTCCTATCTTCCACCCTGGGGTGGCCTGGGATGAGTCATGCTCAGGCCCTACCCGCCTGAGTTGAAGGCTGATGGATGGAAGCAGGGAGAAAGCTGCTCCAGGTCAAGTTCGTGCTCAGGGTCATCCGCCCATAGCAAAGGCTGAGATGCGGGCCCACCAGCCAGTCGCCCAGCGGAGCTCAGACTCTGCGCCCAGCCCACATTCCAGGCAATTCGGTCTAGTTTTTTTTGAAGTTTCCTAAGATGATTCCAAGAACTTTGGCCTCTAGCGAACTTGAACAACTGTTGTTTATGCCCACAAACATTTGGTGGCCCCGCCTCCTTTGAAAGGTTCTAGAATATCAGATATGCATCTGACCTCTGTATCTTTGCTCAGGCCATCTTCCATACCTAGAACACCTGCTCCTTCCAAATTTCCCTCATTCCACAGGCCTCCACTGCCTCCACAAAGCCTGCCCCCAGGGGCCGCCCCGTGGTGTAGTGGTTAAGTGCACGCGATCCGCGGCTGGCAGCCCGGGTTCGGATCCCGGGCGTGCGCACCGCCGCACTGCTTGTCAAGCCATGCTGTGGCGGCATCCCATATAAAGTGGAGGAAGATGGGCATGGATGTTAGCCTAGGGCCAGTCTTCCTCAGCAAAAAGAGGAGGATTGGCATCGGTGTTAGCTCAGGGCTGATCTTCCTCACAAAATAAATTAAATTAAATTAAAAAAAGCCTGCCCCCATTGCCCAGCACACACCCACCTTGCCCTCCCTTGAGCAGAAGACCGGCCCCGCTCTGCTTAGCCCAGGAGTCTGTTGTCCCTCAGACCAGGTTCCTAACTGGTCCGGCCTCCACTGTCCTCCATGGAAGGGACCAGGTTGTAAGCCTCTTGCCACGGCCCTGAGCACAGTTGTGCTTTGTCAACAAGAGCCAGAAAGTTGTGTCCTGATTGCTTTGTTGTTTCCCCAGATAGTAATAGCAATAGTTAATATTTATCAAGTCTTGCCTATATGCCAAGCAGTGTTCCAGGCACTTTGCACACTTTAACTGGTTTAATCCTCATGATAACCCTACAAAGTAGATACTATACTATATTATCATCCCCATTTTACAGATGAGAAAAATGAGGCCCAGAGAAGTTATCTAACTTGCTCAAGTCATACAGCTAGTAAGTAGTAGAGCTAGAGGCCTAGCTCCAGAGCCCACGTTCATAACAGCTGCACTCTGCTGCCTCTCAAGCAGTAATAAAGCGAGAGGTGAGAAAAGAGAATACCTAGGCCTGGATGACGCTGGAGTTCCTTCTCTGTTCATAAAGCAAAAGTCACCCTAGTCGCCTCCTGCCGTTGGCCGTGGATGTCCCCCTTCCCTCCTCCCTCTGCTCCTATAGCTAACTCCTGCTCTACCTCAGGTCTCTATTCAGGCAGTGCCTCCTCCAGAAGCCTTCCCTGTTGCCTTCAGTGGGAGCGAGTGGCCTCTGATCTCACGCAGGCCAATGTGCTTCCCTCTGTCAGAGAAGCTGCTGCATTTCCTCCGCCTCGGTCTCCCCACTGGACTGTGAGCTCCTCGAGGGCAGGGGCCACAGCTGACCCATCTCTGTGGTCCCCATGCCAGATCAGGGCTTGGTACATGGTCGACGCTCAAGAAATGCGGGATCAGCTGAGATCAGGACCATGGGCTTGCGGCTCCTGTGCTGGACCAGCCAGAGATGGGGCAGGATGGCTGCAGAGCAGACCTTCCTACCTCGGGCACTGCCCCTCACCCCCTGCCAGCATCCTGCCTGGGGATGTAGCCTGTGCGAGGCTGGCATGGAAGCTCACAAACCCCCTGGATGGGGCTTGGCTCCGGGCTCAGGAGCCCAGCACCTTCTCACCTGGCTCTCTCCCTCCAGTTTGCAGATGGCGTGTACCTGGTGCTGCTCATGGGGCTCCTGGAGGGCTACTTCGTGCCCCTGCACAGCTTCTTCCTGACCCCAGACAGCTTTGAACAGAAGGTAGGGGGAGGTGATGTCAAGGGAGGCCCCTAGCCCATATGCCCCGACTCATCTGCTGGGGCCATCGGGAAAAAAGGCAGCGGCTTCCCATCTGCCCAGGGTCCTCAGTGGTTGGATGTGGGGCCCATTCTGATGAGCAGCGAGCTAGGAAGGAGCTACCTGCAGACCACTGGGCATCCTGAACAGCTTTCCCTTCCCCTTGCAGCGTGGCCTGGTCCCCTAGCCATACACTCCGGCCGGGTGCCACAGTCCAGCCTCATCTGTTCCCAGAGGTGACAGGGAAGGTGGCGGCAAGGCTGCTCAGACCTGAGGCCCACACTCAGCCTAGTTCTGTTGCTTCTCACAGGCCGCCACAGCCTGCCCACCAGACAAGAGGCATTTGGTCGAAAGCAGAAACCCTTCTCTGCCTCTTGAACATGACTTCCATCTGATCCTTTCAACCGTGTGTACTGATGTCCCTATATTTAAAGTCCTGGCAGTTGACACGGGAACACAATAGGACAGGAAGAGGATTTTGAACTTCTCCGGGAGCACTTCACCAACAGCAGGCTGGGACCGGCCAGCTCACACTCCACGTGGCCTGCCCATTTTGGTAGCCTCGTTTCTCCTTCAAATTAGGCCCTCATTTGAGCTCAGCCTCCACCCGTCTGGCTGCAGTGCTGGCTCTTCACTTCCCAGGGGCAGGTCCCGCAGAGCCCCGAGGGTCCAGGAATGCGTGTACGACGCCATATGCTCTGCATTTCTCTTTCCAGGTCTTGAACGTCTCCTTTGCCTTTGAGCTCATGCAAGATGGAGGGTTGGAAAAGCCAAAACCACGGCCAGAAGGTATTTTGCTCTTCCCGGGGTTTGTGACGAGACGGCGAGACCCTCTCCCTGCACGCATGTGTTCAGGGCACAGGGCGAGGTTCCTGTGTTACAGCAGAGGGAGGAGTCTCTTTTCTGAAGCTTCTTTGACATTAGTGGGGGAAGATGGGACAGGGCACAGCTGCTCAGTCCTGGGGATCCTTTGTGATCTGTAAATCACACGGCCGTGGGAAGAAAAGAATCTGAAATCCCACGCACGGGATCCCGGGAGTAAGGGCCGAACAGACGGGACACAGAGCAGAGGTGCTGCTGTGGGAACTTCCCTGTGCCCAGTTGCCAGGTTCTTCTGTTCCTGGACAGGGTGCTGACCTGCCAAAGAGCTCTAGCCCAGCCAGGCAGGGGGAGGATGTGCGAGGCGTCGCAGGCAGCTCTGCTCTGAGCATAAGTGCCCCTGCTGTCCTTTGCCCTCTCCGGCTCTGCCCGAGGACGAGGCTTGATATGTCGGGTTTGGATTGCACCCATAGGACTGGAAAAATTGCCAAAGGAACGAAACGCTCCAGCAGACCCTCGTGCTCACACTTGGAGCTGTGTGTACATGTGTGCGTGCAGGAGGCCCGTTCTTCTGGTAGTCTTCTTGGTGGTACAGACGTTTATCTTCTGCCACTTACTGAATGAAATAGTCCCTTTACCAGCGGAGTGAATCAACACTGTGTTGCTGATAATTTCTGTTTCTGTCCAATCGGGACGTTGAGAATGCCGCCCGTGGGCCATCGGCTTGTGATTTCCTAGTTGTTTACAGGCAGGTGGAGAAGTGGGGATTGTGTCTTTCACTCCCCATCGCTGCCTCTGCCCCGAGCTCCACCATCCAAACCTCCACATAGAAGGGGTCGTTCACTGACCGTCTAGTTGCCTGAGACCCCATAGATTGTGATATGCCAGGAGGGGTGGGCCGTCCCTTACCTCAGGCACTTGCAACCACCCAGGGGAGAGAAAAGATGCGCCCAGTCACCAAAACGGAATGACAGTGGTGATAACTGCCACGAAAGAGGTACAACTGAGAGGTTGTGAGAACCAAGGAGGTGATACCACTTCTGTCTGGGGCGAGGGACGGTTTGCTGGAGATGGTGACTGTTGAGCTAAACCGTAAGGATCGAGTAGGGCTTTTGTGTTTGGAGATTAGGCTAGAGGAGTGGGCGTCCCAGACGGGATGATGATGTGAACAAACCTCCCGCCTAGGGAATGGGGAGGGGCTCAGTCTGTGAGACAGCAGAGCATGTGGCTAAGCTCATGACAGCCCTGGATCCGGTCCCCACCCCACCAGCTATGTGGCCTTGGGCAACTTACTTACCATCTCTGAGCCTATTTTTCATGTCTGTAAAAATGGAACTCCTAGAGACATGCACATTACAGGACTAAGTGCAATGATGTCTGATGCATAGCACCTGGCCCCTAATAATGACTGTATGCAGTTACCTATTTGGCTGGAATATTAAGAGTGTGACTTGAATAATGGTTGATGAGCATGAAGCAAGCTGGTGTTAGGTCTTGGAGGGACTTGATGCCAAGGCAGAAAGTGTGGACATTATTCTGTAGGCAGTGGGAGTCATGGAAGGTTCTTGAGCAGGTAAGTGATGTGATCAGAGCTCTGTTCCAGAGAGATCGTTTGGAAGGCAGTGTGAAGAACAGATGTTTAGAGGTGGGGCACCATCCGCAGCACTGGGGAACCCAGGAGGAGAAACAAGCCTGGGAGGGGACATGAGGATGTCAGCTTTGGAAAGCTTGAGGTTGACACCGAGGCGTTGAGCAAGCAGAACTGGAGTTCGGGGAAGAGATTGGGGCTGTGGTTATGTAATTGGAAGTCTCCCACTTAGTGGAAGCTGACACGCCGAGAGACTATAGAACGGGAAAGCGTTTAGAGAGAAGAAAAAGGTTAAGGACTGTATCTCATGGGAATGCCTTTACTTATGGGGCTGGAGGAGAAAGCAGGAGAACCAGAAGAGAGAGTGGATTGTGAAAGAACTGGTTGGGTCCCTGTCTCTCGACTCATTCCAGACCTCAGAAACTGTCACTTCCAGCCAAAAAGCCATCCCTTATTTATTCTCTTGTTATCACGTTGATCTAAGCACCTGGTCACTGCTAGAGGCGGACCTCTAGCAAGGTTGGTGTCCCTCTAGGGGCTCTCTCCCTGGCAAGGCCACTCTAGCCATCCTCATGCCATTTGGAATGGATCTGAGGGTCCTGTGGCCAGATGACGAGCACCCTACTGTTGGTAGGAGAGACACAGTGGGAGAGTGCTGGCCGGCATTTCTGCTTCCATTTTCTCGAACTGCTTAACATGAAACTTCCTGGTTTCAGATTGGAACTACTCCTGCTACTTCAGTTTTCAGGCCTTTATTTCCCTCAGGGCAGATGGTTTTCCCAATATCAATTAGTCTATGGGGATATTTCAGCATATAGATGACTTTTGTGCAATTATTGAACTGCTTAATATGAAACTTCATGACCAATGTGAACGGGAAAACACATGTTTTATTTGTTGTTACCATGGGCATCATGCCCATGCTGAACACTTTTCAGTGTATAAAGGAGAGTTGAAATGGTACTTTGTGAAATTGTACTTTGTGAGCGGTATACCCCACCACCCCCTCTGGTTTCTATGCTTCTACCTGGAAAGTGAGATTCAGTAGTAAATGCTGCAGACTTTACAAAAGATGCCAATGTGGGGGATTCTTCGAGGGTGTTTCAAAATCAAATTGGCTGTGGTGGGGGCATTTTTCATGGCAAAAGGTTTTAAGGTCAGGAAAATGCATGCGCAGTCATGCTGTTTGACACTTAAAGCTCTGTTGTAGGGGCTGGTCCCGTGGCACAAGCGGTTAAGTGCGCGCTCCACTGCGGCGGCCTGGGGTTCGCCGGTTCGGATCCAGGGCGCGCACCGACGCACGGCTTGTCAAGCCATGCTGTGGCGGTGTCCCATGTAAAGCTGAGGAAGATGGGCGTGGATGTTAGCCCAGGGCCAGTCTTCCTCAGCAAAAAGAGGAGGATTGGCAGATGTTAGCTCAGGGCCGATCTTCCTCACACACACGAAAAAAAAGCTCTGTTGTACCTTGAAATCCCCTGGAAACTTTGGGTTTCCTTCTCAGATGACGTTTGCTGCCCAGGCTTCATAACTTTTTAGTACCCCAACTAGTGTCAAGTGTCAGCATCAAGTTCATGGCCGATGGAGTAGTTGAAATATTGGCATGAAGCTGGTGACTTTTTATTTAGAACATCACACCATGTATCTTCAAATGCACCTGCCCACCCTGTTATCATCGTTCAAGTAGACTCATCATCAAGTATGGTTAGGACCCCAGCATAACAGGCAGGAATGAAGCCTGTACGTAGGAGAGCCGACAGGCTGATGGAACATCTAAAATTTAAGGAGTCAGATAGCTGGGACCAGACTACTTCAGGCAATGCTGAAAATCCAGGCAGGTGATGGCAGCTTAGTTCCAGGTGACCAATGCTATTTGAGGAAGGACTTGGTCAGTGGCTAGAAACATGGGAAATGGTTCAACTTCCCCTCCCCATTCCCTTAGGAGATAGTGTACAGACCAGACGGTGGGAAACATTTAAAACTCTGATAAGATCAAGTGTTGGCAAGGATGCAGAGCAACAGAAGCTGCTAGTGTGAATATAAATTGATACAACCATTTTAGAAAATAGTTTGTCCTTATCTAATATAGTTGAAGATTTGTAATACCTACTGTGGTAGGGAGAATGATGGCCCCCCAAAATGCCCATGCCCTGTTAATATGTTGTTACCTTATGGTAAAAGGGACTTTGCAGGTGTGATTAAGTTGAGGATCTTGAGATGGGGAGGTTTATCTTGGATTATCTGGGTGGTTCCACTGTAATCACAAGGGAAGAGGAAAGCAGAAGACTCAGTATTGGAATGATGCAGCCTGAGAAAAACTTGACCAGCCGTGGCTGCCTTTGAAGATGGAAGGGGGCCATGAGCCAAAGAATGTGGGCAGCCCCGAGAAGCTAGATAAAGAAAACAAATTCTCCTCTACAGTCTCCAGAAGAGAACACAGCCCTGCCAATACCTTGATTTTTATCCCAGTGAGACCCGTTTTGGACTTTGACCTTTAGAACTGGAAGATAATAAATTTGGGTTGTTTTAAGCCACGAAATTTGTGATACTATGTTACAGCAGCAATAGGAAACTAATACACCCCATGACCCAGTAATTCCACTCATGGGGATGCATGCCCATGTACCAGGAGACTAGCCCGAGAATATCCATGGCAGCATAACTGGAGTGTGCATCCCCAGTGTACTGGCTAACTGAACTGCAGTATATTCATACCACAGATTAATACACAAGAACACAGAATGGGCTGAGAGATCGTGAGAGGGTCTTCTAGTTATTGCAGCACGAAGAGGTTGGTGATTATGTTCTACAAAAAGCAAGTATAAAACTGGACGAAATCGTCAAAAACAACCATTTCAACCATGAAAATTTATCAGAAGTAGACAACAAATTGAGAAGCCTTCATTTTTGAAAATCTATAGAGTTATAGCTGGATAATTATAGTTATACCTCAGTAAAATAAATTATACCTCAATAAAATTGATTAAAAAAATGAACATTCGTGCAACATGGGTGAATTCCTATAAACATAATTTTGAGTAAAAAAAAGAAAATTACAAATGAATACATGTAATATGATTCCATTTATATAAAGTGTAAAAACAGGCGAAACTAATATCTGCTGTTGAAGGGTGCGTATGTTGGGCTAGTGGAAGTGTGACGAAGAGCAAGTAAGTAATCACCACACGAGTCAGGACAGTGGTTATCACTGCAGGGAGAGAGAAGGTTGTGACCAGAATGTAGAGAGGGAGGGGGTGCTTCTAGGTTACTGAGAATGTTCTACTTTAAACATGGATAGTGGTTACATAGGAGCTCTCTTCCAAGTATTTAGAACTGCGCACATATGTTGCATGCACTTTTCTGGATGTTTACATGTTAAAAAACATTTTAAATATGACAAAGAAAATAGCAAATTCACCAGATAAGAGTAGCAGGTCACCAGTAAAATGACCCATCTCCAAAAGATGTATTCTGTCCCAGTGGGGAATAGAGAGCAGACGGGAAAGGGAGGCAGAGACTGAGGATGAACTAGGTCCGTTGGGGGTGGGATGGGGCTGCAACATGAGGGATACCTGGGGGCTGGGCTCACCCCCAGTAGCCAGCATGTGGCCGCCCAACTTATTCCAGCCCCCACTACCTGGTGGCACTGAGCTACCGGGTGTCCTCCCACCTTGGTCAGGGGACAACAGGGCCCCAGGGGAAGGGGGAGGGGAGCTTCAGAGAAAGGGCCTCAGCAGCTGCCTTAGACTGGGATGAGGGAGGCTGGAGGGGACACAAATGGGTCCATGGAGGGCATGGCCTCACAGCGCCACGTCCCCCCTGTGTAAAGACTGGGTTTCTGCTGTTAAGCGAGTTCCCCTCCCTTCTTTGACTTCTGCATCATTTAGAGAACCATGAATTCCTTTTGGATGGTCCTCTAATGGACGGGGAGAGTCGGTAATGCCACGGGATGTGAGGAGCAAACCTTGAGCCCTTTCCCCTTGGCCAGAGGCTGCTTTCTCCTTAGAGTGGTCTTGAGTCTGATTTGTCTCTTCCTTGGCCCCAGCCAGCCCGCTCTGCTCTGGTTGTCTAACCAAGTGCCCCGCCATTCTGATTGTCTGCTCCCAGAGTGGCCCTAGGCCAGCACACAGAGGCCAGCAGAGCAGTACTGAGTTGCTACTCGCACAGTTTATCAGGCCAGGGCTTTCAAGAGGCTCTGTTTATACAGCATGGAGTCACAGTCCATTCCCAGGCATCCAAAGCCCCTCTCCTGGCTGAGATAGCCCCCCTACTGGCCTGCCTGGAACTACCTGGGTGGCCATTGGCTTTCTTGATAAGAACAGACGATAAGCAGTGTCTCTGACTGCGGTCCCCTCTCTTCACCAGGCCCACCTAGTGGTGATGTCTGTAGGAAGGAGGAACTCAGATTTCCCAAGAAGCAGGCTTAGTCTATGTGAATGGTGCCCCCTGGACTTGTGCAGTGCACAGACTGCACGGCTGTACATAACAGCTCTGCCAAGAGGCAAAGAAGGGAAAGCAGGAAGGAAATTACCATTTAGGGAGCCCTTCATGTGTTCTAGGTATTTTTCATAAAACTCAGTTTTACCAGTGAGAAAACTGATTCAGAGAAGTTAAGTGACTCTAACTGGGTGGCACAACTGTAGTGAAGATGGGCTTCAAACTTTACTGGGCATTAACATTAAATAAAATGGTCAGTGTGAAACATCCTCCAATTTTGGACTTTTCTTTCTCTAACAACCTCAGCTGTCTCCCACCAGCTGGGGCCATGTCCCCTGGAACTCTTCCAGCCCTTACCTCCTCACCCTCTTGGGAGTATGTGGCCCTGATGGCCAGCCCCTCTTTCTGGAGTTTTCTTCCTTGGCTCCCAGGACACTGGGCAATCATTCATTCATTTATCTATTAGTATCTTTTGAGGTCTGTGCATGCCGCGCACCAGGCCAGGTGCTGGAGCAAAACCAGACAGTCCCTCTGTGGTCAAGTTGCTCGCCGTCAGGACAGAGGCCAATTTCATCAAATAAGCACGCAAATCACTGATTGAGAACTGGAATGAGCGCCATGCAGGAAGAGCGTGGGGGCTTAGAGAACATGCAGCGGGGCGCCCTCACCCAGGCCGGGGGTCAGGAGGCTTCCCTGAGGGGGCGGTGCTTTGAGCTGAGGTCTGCAGGAAGACCAGGAGTCAGCCACTTGTGGGGAGTAATCTAGAGTTGCCACCTCGTGTGCAGGGGCTACGACGATGGAGGAGCGCAGCCCATTGGGAGACAGAGAAAGGGAGCCGGTGTGACGGGTGCATAGTGAATGGGGGGCAGTGTGGCTTGAAGAGAGACTGGAAAGGAGGGCGGAGTCAAGTTATGCCTTGCAAAGCCATGATTTAGGATTTTGGACCTTATCTCAAATGAAATGGCTGTAATGGCCCTACAAGTTGTGAGCTGCACAACTCCAAGGGGCACCATTTATGTTGTGGTCTATGGTAATGATGCCGTGGAAATGTGAACGATGAGCCCTGGAGTTGTGCAGTGCACATCCTGCACAACTATACCCAGAGGCTGAATAGTCTAGCTATGTGGGTAGAATGGACTGGAAAGGACAAGAGGCTTTGAGGAGGCCAGTTAGGAGCCTGTTTCAGTGACCCCAGTGCCACCCTACCTTCCCCTTCATGCTCCCTCCCTTAGTGAGCTCACCTTTGCCCAGCTCTGCCTTTCTAGCAATTCCTCCCTGGGGTAACTTCCTCATCTTTGACTTGAGTGGAATTTAAGAAACACTTAACACCAAGCAGTCAGGGGAGACAGGAATCCACACAGAGAGCATAGGACCCTCCTGGCAGAGGGTGATTCGGCATGCTCAGGGCTGAGCCTCTCGGGTGGTCCTTGGGAGCCCCTGGTCTGTCAGCAGGAGAGCTTGGTGTGGAGGCCAAGCCAGCTGGGGCGGAGCAGGGTGGGTCTGCAATTGGGATAAGGCCTGGGTGGGGGCAGGCATGGCCACAAGGGCATAGGGGTGCAGAGAGCCCCAAGAAGGCTCCCCAGCCCTGGGCCCTCAGCTTGTAGCCCCGTCAGTGTTGATCTTTTTGGGGCCTGGAGCCTGGGGTCTGAGCGCACCTGGCTGTGGCAGTCACAGCTGCAAGAGTCCCAAGGCCTGCCAGAGCCATCGGCCCCCTGCTCTGCTCCGTCCTGAAAGACCCCCGTTCCTATTGATGAGGGCGCTGCTGGCGTCCTGACATCTTCCCCAGCCCTCCTTTTCCAGTGGCTCAGCCTGATCGCTCCCACCTCTGAGTCCCAGAGCATTTATTATTTCCTCTTACATCATTTACCTCCTCTGACCTTCTGCACAGTTAGGTTTTTTTAAATCATTTTTACTGAGAAAAATATCACATATCCAGAAAGATGCATGAAACACAGATGTACAGGCTGGTGAGATATGACCCAGCGAGCCAGCACGTCGCCTCCAGCCGGCTCAAGGGAAAGAGGAAGCCCCAGCTCCTGAGAGTTCCCTCCGACCTGCCCTTTCAGAACATAATCCTCAGCCTCTCCCCTACAGATAACCGCTCGCCGACTTTTGTAGTCGTCAGGCTTTTTTTGCGTTTTCTATTTTAGTTTATTTTTGCTTTTTCTTATAATTTGATTACCTAAGTATGCATTCCTAAACAGTAGGCAGAGTTTCTTTTTTTAATTTGTTTTCTCTCCTCCAGTTAGAAGGAAGGTTCTCCAAGGGAGTCCGTGCAGAGGGACGAGAGCAGAGGGGGCTTGGTTGGGAGGAGGAGAAGGTGGAGGGGCCGCAGAGGGTTGGAGGGGCAGGCAGAGGAGGTGACCAGTACACAGAAGGGAGGGAGGGAGGGAGGGCACCGCGGAAAGGAGGGAGGGAGGAAATGGTTGTATCAAAGCTTGGGAGTCCACAGCAGAACTCTCCTGAAAATACAGTCCAATTCCCAGCCTCAAACCCAGCTGCCTTGCTCTGTCCTTAATCTGAGGCTGTCTGTCCCCTGATGACGAGTTTGCTGAATACTTTTTACCAGGTGGGCTTCCGTGTCCTCTAGGGGCCCTCCCTTCTGAAGGGAGAGGCAGCTTAGTCCTAACTCACCACCTCTCTCCCCTGTACCCCCGGACCCTCCCCTCCCCCACCACTCAAGGCTGGCTCTGTGCAGAGGGGCCCCAGGGAGAGGTGAGGCCTGGGGGACAGGGTCAGGGCTGGGGCCAGCACCCCTGTCACCTGGAAATGCTGTTTCCAGGACAAACGCTGCAAGCTCTGGGGTCTGCTTCATCTTAGTGAGAGGTGAGACCCCATGCCCCAGCACCTGTGCCCCCTGCCGCACGCTCTGTCCATCCTTCAACACCCACCTGCCCCGGTCATCTCATGGGGCTGCTCTTCTCTCCCAGCAGGACAGGGAGCTCTTCCAGAGCACAGAATGATGTCCTGTGGGTGAGGGGCATACCCACCCCAGCACCATGCTGGGCACACGTGGTGGGTGGTGGACGGAAGGGGAGGAGACATGCCAACTTTGGGCCAGCAGCCCCACTGAAGCGTTGTGTGTTTTTTGTTTTCTCTGCAGACATCGTCAACTGTGACCTGAAATCCACACTGCGAGTGCTGTACAACCTCTTCACCAAGTACCGGAACGTGGAGTGAGGCCAGGCTGGACTGGCCTCCAGACCACCTTACCCTGCTCCTCCTGTCTCCTGCTCTGTGCTCTCCCGCAAGTCCAGCTGCAACTCAGCGACAGTGGGAACTGAAATTAGGAAGGAAATGACCAGTAACTCAGTGGGCTGACCCACATCTCCCAGGCCCTGGGGACCGGCCCAGCAATGGCCTAGGAAGGTTGTCCCCATCCTGGGCCAGGTCCAGATTTCCCTCAGTGTGATTTGGGAACCAGCTTAGGCACAAGAGACCCCCCAGAAGATGAAAATAAAGATAATAGTGACCATTCAATGGGTGTAAGCTATGCCCCAGGCACCACCCTAAGTGCTCGGACTACTCAGACACATTAGCCCTCGTGACTCCCATTGAAGTAGGTGTTCTAATCCCCTTTGACAGATGAGAAAACTGAGGCTCAGGGAGGTTAAGCGACTTGCCGGAAGCTGGCATTTGTTTTTCTTCTTTGAACATGTTTGTTAATAACTAGCCAATTACATCAGATTCTTTGCATGTTCTGTGTGTGTGTGTGTGTGTGTGTGTGTGTGTGTGTGTGTGTATGCATGCACATGTACCCTCAAAGAAGACAGGGGCCCACTGATCTCACCACCAGGCAGGCTAGGTCAGGGCTTAGTGATTCACACTAAAATTGGCAGATCAAATTTAACCCAATTAATAGTGTGTGTGTGGCAGGAGTCATGTCCCTCAACTCCTTTGTACAAATGAAAATTACACTTAATTCCTTCAGATTTGTAATAACCCCATACTCTGGTTTCAGGGTGACATTTGGGAAGGATTCTGTTTAAAATTAATGGAGTGGCACATTTTGCAGCCTTTTTGCTTGATTGCATGTAATGGAAATGCCCTATATTTTCCTGCAAAATAAGTACCCGATTCATTATCGTTAGGCAAACGGAGAATAGATTCAGGGCTTGCAGAGAGCTGGGCGCAGGCCCGTGTGAGCATGGCTTGGGAAGTAGAGCTCTTCAACAGAGACCCTTGAACTTTAAAGAAAGGAACTCCTTTTTGCCTTCTAATTGATCATTTAGACCATTTCTGGCTAAGTCTGCCCACATGCAATTACCAGCTAATTCAGGCGAGGAAAAAATGTAAGTCATTTAGACCCAAGCCGAGCGGTTTCATTGCGTGGGCTACTCGCGGGCTTGTGGTTACTTGTGTCCCCTCTACGTGAACCCGACTTTGAAATACAAGGCTCTAGTGCCCCAGGCTGCCGAGTCCTGGAGGAACAGGAGAGGGGCTGAAGTGGGGTTGACGAGAGGGACAAGAAGTGTGGGGAGAATATTTGCATACTTAACATCAAGGGGAATACCCTCAGACAGGGGGATGGGGTTTGTGGGGTTTACAGTCTTCGTAAATTGACCAAGGCCTTGGGATAATTAATAACTTTTACTGATATTATCTCTTCATTAAAGAATTTTCCTAAATATGCCAGATGGACACCAGCCTGTGTCCCCACCTCCAGAAGTCTGTGCTTGCTTTTAACACTCCTTTAGGCCATTGCACAAAGCCCGTCTCTAGTTTGAGAAAATCATTTTGATCTCCATCTACACCACCCAGAGGTAGGCCTCCCATATTGTCCAAAACATTTCCTTCCAGCTTCTAAACATTTCTTACTCTATGGTCTATCTGCAGTAACTCAGAACTCAGAAAATGTAGATATGCTACATATTTCTCTGGATATTTTGCTCCAAGAAAGAACTGTTACTCAGGAGAATGAGCATTTAAGATATAAAGACAGTGTACTCTCTTGTGTCAATTTATGTTAAAGACTACAATTCTTTTTTACATAATTAATGAAATGTTACTTTTTTCATTAGGAAACACTAAATAGTGTAATATTTCTGTTTGCACTCTTTTAAATTGCTGATGGCAAATCAAGATAAATCATTGCTTTGTCTCCTTGGGCAGTACTCAAGCGGCTGAAATAAGAGGAATGTGTTCATTTAAACATGCTTTGCTGTACGAATTTTGTCTCCTTTTTTGTCTTTTTTTTCCTTATATTCAAGCTGCAAATGTACAGTGGAACAAGGGCCCTTATGAAGAGGACTCCTTTTTATATTTTCTGTATACATCGTATGAAAACACAGCAGAACACCTGGAAAGTTTTTTAATAACGGGTCTAACTTATCAGAAAATTGTGTTTTGAGACTGAGGTCTTAGCCTCAGTCCAGAATCCCAGGGCCTGGGCCTGGTTTTACAACCCCGTCCTCTTGTTTAGAGGTTTTTCTTTAGATTCTAGAATCTCCTTCTTAATACATGACCATGTTTTGAAGGGGGGAAAAGGCGTCAGAACAATAAATAAACCAAACTTAACCCTCGTCTCTTCCAAAAAAAACAGAGACAAGAATCAAGTCTCAGTAAGTTCACTGGGTCCTTTTTTTTTTCCCCTTCCCGAGACACCTCAGTCATATAAAGCATTGACATACATATAAAATCGTTTGGTTTTTTTCTTTTTTTTTTTTACATAAATAGCATATTCTACATACTGTCATGCACATTGCCTTTTTCACTTATCTTGGAGATTATTTTACACTGGGTATTAAAACCTTTCACATTTTAAAATGAGAATCTGAGCACTTTGTAAACCAAATGCACATCTCTGGTCTGCTTGAGTGAGGAAATGAAAGCCCTCCCTGAAGAGGTAATGCTGCCTAGATAGTGATTTCAAAAGTCAAGACAGAGACCTAAGGGGGTTGGGGGCTGGGGGTGTGTTATCAGAGACAGTCTCATGTGCCTGGAACTGAATTTTTTTTAAAGGCCTCTGGATTATTGTGGTGAATTTCATGCGGTTTGATTAAGCTTTCATTTGTACATATTACTAGGGGTACTAATTTGTAATTGACTAAGAAAGTCCCAAAGGTCCTGAGTACCCAACAGTATTCCACTACACGCCCAGCCGCCATGCACTGCTTATCGACTCTACCAGAAGGCTTCGGGGCCGGCCCCGTGGCTTGGCGGTTAAGTGTGCGCGCTCAGCTGCTGGCGGCCGGGGCTCGGATTCCGGGCGTGCACCGACGCACCGCTTCTCTGGCCATGCTGAGGCCGCGTCCCACATAGAGCAACTAGAAGGATGTGCAACTGTGACATACAACTGTCTACTATGGCTTTGGGGGAAAATAAATAAATAAAATCTTTAAAAAAAATTAAAAAAAATAAAAAAAAGGCTTCGATTTCACATGTGCAGGCACAGAGTTGACATTTCCAAAAAAGAGGGACTCTCTATCAGCACATCATCAGTGTTGCCTTGAGTTGGTTGTGATTTGCAGTTGCTGCTCTGGGTACTTTTTAATTACGAATTACTGTTAGCTTAGCTTTATCATGATCAGTTTATTTTGTTGTGGGTTGCTTGGCTAAGCCTACAGAATACACTGAAGCTTATTTGCATCAACAGTATTCTGGGGCTGTAATTTTCCAATAACTAGACTCTGAGACATGTATACATTGTGGTTCAAATATGAATCATCCATACTCCAGCACTAGAGCAATGTATACATAATCCACTCCCCCCAATTATCACTAATTTATTTTTCCACTGGAAAATGAGACTAGATGGAGTCAGGAGGTCAAGCAGTTTTGCCCTAAGTGGAAGCGGATGAAAAATAATTTGAGATCCACCGCTTTTAATACAGCCCCACCTCAAGAACCTACTGACGTAAAACATGCTCGATATGCGAGAGATATGTCCCAAAACCCTCACTCATGCTAATATTGATGCAATCTCCCCCCTTAAAATTCACATAGGTCTATTGGAAAATTCGAGAGTTGCTGTAGATACTGAGAACAAGAGAACTTCATTGAGATGCAAATGGTGGGTGGTAGGTGGACTCACCCACCCACTAAGGGACCTGTGTCTACACACCAGCTTCCCAATACTTGCAGATTCAGGTCTCGGCAAAAGACAAGTTAGCATGTAGGAGTTGCTCACTGTCATAACTAGTCACATAATGCCCCACAACGACGTTTTGGTCAATGACGGACTGCATATATGACGGTGGTCCCATAAGATTAGTACCATGGAGCCTAGATGTGTAGTAGGCTATACCGTCTAGGTTTGTGTAAGTACAGATGTTCACACGACGATGAGATCGCCTAATGATGCGTTTCTCAGCATGTGTCCCTGTCGCTAAGCGACACATGGCTGTACAAAGATTATATCTGCAAACCAAAGTTTTGACTGTTTTTCCCCTCTTTTCTCTGAAAAATATAAACCCAGGCTACCTTCACCATTCGCTCATGCCCCCTGCTTTACTGCGGTGGCAGCTGCACAGAGAATAAGTGCGAATGTGTTCACGACAACAGCGAGGCAGCCGTGAGGCTGCTCAGTGCAGGATGGGCAGCTCCCACACCAAGCCTGCCAATCTTGAGTTTCAGGCTTCCCAGGTCAGAAGGCACCAGTGAAGCATCTCTTAAAGTGCATTCTGCAGGATGTTAGGTAAAAAGACGTCACATTCAAATAAGTGTGAGAAACAGGAGGCTAAAGAAAATTAAACTCGCTTTCTTAGGTTCGGTTTTATATTTTGCTTTGTTTTTGTTTTTTAATTGGAACCAATCTCAGAGTTTCTTACACTAATGCATATTATCCCTCTCTAAGGGGAGACAGAAAGGGGCACGTCCCAGTGGTGTTTGACCACGGCACCTATTTGCCCCCTGAGATATTTGCAGGATGAGAACTCTGGAACGCATCCATGTTTAACCATTTGGCCATATGGTCAACAAGGATATGCTGAGCGTCTACAATGTGTTAGGTGTGCTGTGTCAAGTGGCGATGACACTCTCATAAAGCTCACAGTGTAATGGGGGAAGATGCCTGAAATATAATCACAAATCGATGATACTTACCAATTATGATGACCACTGTGAAGGAACAGTACAAAAATCTATGAACGAGGTCTCATGTAGATTTTGAGGTCAAGAAAGTTCTCTAGCAAAGTGACGTTTTAAACTGACACATGAGGGGCCAGCCCAGTGGCATAGCGGTTAAGTTCTCGCACGCTCCGAAGGTTCAGTTCCCGGGCGGGGACCGATGGATGCACTGCTTGTCAAGCCATGATGTGGCAAAGTCCCATATAAAGTGGAGCAAAATGGGCACGGATGTTAGCCCAGGGCCAATCTTCCTCAGCAAAAAGAGGAGGATTGGCAACAGATGTTTGCTTAGGGCTAATCTTCCTCACACACACAAAAAATAATAATAATAAAGTGACACCTGAATCGTCAAGCTACTGAAGTGAAGAGCTTGCTGTTCGAGGGAACAGCA